CTGCAATTTATTACTTAGGCCCAAGTTAGAGGCTCATATACCTGTGGTCTATCTGCTGCTGAGAACAAAGACCATGGTTTTCATCTCTATCACCCCTGTGTCAACCACAATGCCTGGCATTTGATGGATTTGCAATAAATATGTGTTGGCTGAGTTAATGGAACCTAGCGATCATCTTGAAGAATCCTCTATCTGGGGTTATTTGGTATTACCTGCCAATTAAGGTCCAAAATACACCAAACAAAAAACAAAATAAAAAACCCTGGAAGGTCCAAAGTACCCATCATAGAGATAAGCATAGCCATTAACAGTCTGAGAAACAGGAAGAAAAACAGGCCAAGCACTTGGAAGAGAGGATACATTTGATTTGCAAAAGGCTAAGTTTGAGGGGCTCTGGAGCATCCAGGTTGTGATATCTGAAAACAGGTGGCAACTCCGGCCTGATGCTCAAGAGACACTGAGGCTAGAGATAAGAATCTAAGACTTGGCCTCAGAGAGAATAATGGCACCAAAAAATCATGTTCTCTAATTATAAAATTTAATATGGGGAAATGTTTAATGCACATGGCTGACTACAAACCATTTAGCAGAATAAAAAAACGTTCATATGTTCTTCCCCAGCTAAAAACTCTGAAACAAGTAGCAAGAAGAAAAAGAAACATATAAAACAGGAAGCAAAATGGTGAAGTTATAAGTGATTGGGATGTTATTTTTCTTCATTCTCTTCTGTATTTTCCTTTTTTAAAAAAAGCAGTTTATTCATTCAGTGTATATTGAGTGACTGTAATGTACCAGAATCTTATTGAGGGCTGGAGGTGAAGCATACATATATTTTATGCCTTTTAACAACAAAACTGTTGTTTGTCCTACCAATGCCTCATTTCACAGATAAGGAAAGGGTGACAACCCCGAGAGAGGGAGTGACTTGCCCGAGGTCATGGGGTCAGTCCACCCAGCTCTTCACTGAAGCCCAGCTCTGGCAAATGACAGAAAATGGAAGTTCAGGGTTTCTGAAGCACAGCTCTTCCACAAGGTGAGAAAGCTCTATAAATACAACCATAAATGTGTGCTTAATCACATGCCTCCTAAGTAATCACCTCGATGGCATTTTACCAAAAAGTTCCAAAGCAAAGCATGGATTCCTTTTTCAATAACTTTGAGAAATTTTTGCCCTTCACCAAAAAGACAAGAAAAAAAAAAGTATGATGAATGTTTTTCCAGTTCTTAAAAAAGAGGATCCTAATTCTATACTTCTAGCTACTGATTCTACCAGATTTTTGTTTGTTTGTGTTTTTGTTTGTTTGTTTTAGTTATAGGCAGACATAATATTTTATTTTATGTGATGCTGAGGATCATACCCAGTGCCTCATACATGCTAGAAGAGCGCTCTACCTCTGAGCCACAATCCCAGCCCCTCTACCAGGTTTTTAATGGGACTCCATTCACTCCGACCTGCATGAATGTACAAACATAAACACTTGAAAACTTGCTGAAGTCTTTTAATTGACCCTCTTATCATGGGACATAATAAAAACAAAATCGTAATTCCTTCACCTTTATTGAATATTCATTGAATTAAAAAATCCTATTGTCCTTCCTCATGGATATTGAATTATTAGAAGACCACTGTACATCCAGGATAGAACAACAAAATGAAATATGATTTCCATAAAGCAGAACATTATTTCCATTAGTTACATCAGATAGAAAGCTTTTACCTGTAATTAAGTCAGTCAATTGCAGGCTTTAAACCAATCTTTGACATGAATTAAATTTACAAAATATATAACCTTTAGTTGACCTATATTTCTTTTTTAAAATTAGGTCCCATCACAATGAGGGATCAATAACTAGAATACCACAAACAGCCTCCCTCATACATGTCGGATATTATGAATGGACAGGCTGGTGGACACAGAAAGCAAATAATTGTCTGTCTAACCTTTTGGGGCCCATCTCCTGAAGGCATGAAATATCATTTTTCCTTTATGGCTTTCTGTACTTCAGGTACCCATTTTTGTACTCTTTGAGATGGTATGGCTATAAATGTATGTACAAACGCCTTACAAAGATAATACCTGTGATACGCACTTATTTTGATGACCTAAACTGCCTCCATCTTTGAGAAAGTGAAGGACTACTACATTTCCTGAGGATGACTCTGCTTTATTTTTGAGAAAATCCATCTCCTATTAGCATGCTCCCTGCACAGCTTACTCATCCATCACTTCCCACTCTGACAGATCTGAGTATTAGACGTTTGTTCAAAGGCATAGAGTCTAAAAGGTAAGAGCTCTAGTGATAGAGTCAGGCAGTAATGGAATTTGAAGAGCCACTTGGACATTTACTAGGTGTATGACAAGACCTTAGCCAGGTAACTTGCTTCAATTTTCTTAGTTGTGAAAAATTGATAATGGCAACCAAGATTGTTGGAAAATAACTGCACAGGGCCTGGTATGTAACAAGTGCTTGATAAATGTTACTTAACAGCACTAAGAAGAAGACATTTTTCAAGTTTCATATATAATACAACCAGTATTTACAAAAGACTTCTTTGTCCCTGATTTCTCAAACCAGAAACTAACCAACATTGCCTTGGAAATTATTGTGAAGACTAAGAAAGAGACAAAAGAACTCCAGGGTTCGCTCACTCCAGAACTCAGGCAGCACTTTAGTGCTTGTGTGATCCACATTTATCCAGCAGGTACCCTGTATAGAGGGAACTGGTTTATGGGGCTGGAAACTGTTCTCTCCTGGATCCAACCAACCAATTCTGAAGTAGACTTTGTAACTTAGCCTCTTTAAGGGTACTGTTTAATATTCAACAGGAATTTTGTACTTGCTAAGTCTTTGACCTTCATCTCTCTAATCTTATCATTTTGGGCTTATGATCTTAAACTCACGAATGTGTTTTTATTTATTGTTTCGATAGTCTTTTAAGAACAAAAGTACCCTAGAAAATCAACTGGTGGGTAAGTCCTTTCATATGTTGGCAACAGACTACAATATGCCACAAGGACCCGCCTTCTCAGGTAGGAATTGCAAATCTCTCTATGTGACAAAAATCCCAGGATGTCCAAAAAGAACAGATAAAAGACTAAGAACCACCCTCCAGGACCTCCATGCACATATAGACAATCTTGAGAAAGGGAAGAAATGTCCCTTCCTCCTCGTTTTTGCTACTTCATGTGCAACCCTTGAGGGGAGAGAGAAATGAAAGCTACTTCTCAGTGTAAGGAGAATACTGCTAATGGGCCTGGCAACTAATGGTCGGTAACAGCAGCTCCCCACCTTGCAAAAGAGCGTGTTCAATGGAATAACCTGATATAGCATTTTGTTAGTGTGAGTCTTAGTGATAATAGGAAATGTATGCACTATAATTGAAAACAGCAGATTACAAAAATTTACACTTTTACACACACATATACTCATCATATACATATACACAATATGATCTCAATTATGTAAAATATAGCACATTAAAAAGCAAAAGGCAATACACCAAAACACTAGTGGTTGTTGAAGGCAAATTCTCCATTAGTAATATTTTTATTCTTTGTACTTTTCTATCATTTTGACTAATTTTCTATAATCTAACTGAACAAATTCTTTAAAAAGTATAAAAATGAGTTAATCAAAATTCAACACCTATTACTTTTTTAGCAAAAAGGGAAAAGGAATATGTAAAAACGAAATTTGCTAGTTTTCAATGCAGATAATGGTTTGTCCTGCAAAAACACTTTATTGACGATATGATAAAGGTCAATAATAAGTAACTAGGAAGAAGCTTTCTAAGTGTTGATTTGGGCAGCCTGCCCCAGATCCTTCTCTCTGGGTCGAATTACCTCCCTTTCTTCTTTCTGTTAAAAACAGTGGTCAATCATAAAGGATTGGAGAACTTGGAGGGCGGGGGAGGTGCAAAGAGATTAAAATAGTTGAAAACGAGGACAGTAAACTAAACACTGATCATTTAAACTGATCTGAAAGACTGTCAACTTTAAAGTTGGACCAAACAATCCTGATTTGGCATACACCTCCAGGCCTGCATGATCCTGGGGGAAACCTCACACACATTCTCAAGTGAAGAGCTTTGGCCTTAAAGAAATAAGTACACATTCAGTCTGGAAAGAACTATTTCTCTCAGGCAGTCCCAAACTTAAGACTCCAGAATGTGTGGTTTGGCGGTAGCCAAAGAGTGGAATTTTAACTTCACTGTCCGGTAAAGCCTACCCTGTTAACTTCCTGTTTTGTTTCCAGAAGCTATGATGAAGAAATGTTTAAGGCTCCTTTCACGGTGCCTAGTTTCTAGTCTTTCTTCTAGAGGAACCCAAACCTCTCTCACTGTCCTCCTACATCATCAGTAACTCAGGCAGCAAGAATCAGAACCACACTAGATGCCCCCAGAGTGGGAGAAGGGACGGGGCGAGGTGTCTTGTTGTGTGCTGGGAGATCATTCCTGGATCTTTTCTCTTTCAAACTCTGGTCGGGCTGGAGGATTCCTAGTGGGAGTGAGGCCTGGAAGGGGCGTGCTTCCTACCTTAGCAGACAGCACCCGCCACACACTAACTCTGAGACAAGGCAGGCCTCCTAAGTGAATGGATTTTGCATTTGGTTTTGGCTGGGATGAAGGGAGGGGACAATGGCTGGGAGGGCCTACTTTAAAAAGATTCTATAGGTAGTACAGAAACTTCGTGGACTTCCACAGAACACCAAGGGCGGAGGATTTGAGAGGATGGGGCTTAGAGAAATGAGGGCGAGACCACCGAGACTGCCTTAAACTTGTCAAATTACCCAAAGGGAGCAGGGGCAGGCGCCTAGGTGGCCAAGGCTGGTCTGATGCCCCTGAAACGGGGCGCCTGCGGGAACAGGCTCCGAATTGGGCATCTGGACGCCAGCTCGGCGCACCCTCGGGTCCCTGCGGTTCGTTCCTGCCACCGGGTCCGGGCCGTCCGCTGCCCTGGGACAGCGCGGGAGGCCCGCGGGCTGCGCGGGGCGGGTACCTTGGTGCCCTGGTGGAAGTCGTCGACCGAGCGCGAGCCCATGAAGGGGAACTGCAAGTGCGTGTGCGTGTCGATGCCGCCGGGCAGGACGAGCTTGCCCGCCGCGTCGATGACCCGCAGCCCCGTGGGCGCTCCCTCCGGCGGCAGCAGGTCGCGGCCGAGCGCCCGCACCACGCCGTCCTCCACCAGCACGTCTGTCACCTGCGAGAGGTCATCGTTGACCACGCGACCCCCGCGGATCAGGAGCCGCGACATGGCAAGGGGCCCGCGAGGTCCTATCGGCCCAGAGCTGCAGGAAGGGTGGCCTCGGCGACCGAGGGTGGCCCTCCAGGAAGTTCCCCACGAGAAGTCCCCAAGCTCCCGCTGAGGCTCCGCCAGAGACAGCCAATCCCGAGCCTGGGGCGGGGTATGGAGAGGTCCAAGTTTTGCGGGGCTCCACCCCCGCGAGGGCTGGACCCGAGACAAAGGCCTGGGGCAGAACCGGTCCAACAGGCCCTCCTGGGGCTGGAAGTCCACCCGGGTTTCTGAGCCATTAGAAGGAAGAGATCTTGGAGTTTTAAAAGTGAGGGAAATTATATGTTCCTTCATAAAAAAAGGCGCTTTGAGGAAAGAAAGATCTCGGGGTTCTTGTCCTTCAGGAGCCTGTACCGAAAGACTAACAGAAGGGGACAGGAGACATCCAGGGACCCTGCAGCAGCGACCAGAGTACCCAAATAGACGCACGTCAGAACAGAGCCCCTAGGTCTGGGTTTCCTTTCATCTCTCCTTTAACTACAGGGAGAAGCAAATTTCGCACAATCTCAGAGATTTTTTTCAGTTCAGAGTGAAATACTTGAAACCAGAGTGACTTGTCTAACTGTTCTCTGGGTTTTATTAATACAACACATACCAGCATTTTTTTTTCTTGGTCAATAACGGGTACTGTAACTCTAAAGATCTAGGTTTATAATCCTGGCTCTTCCAGAAAACTAGCTTGGAGGTCTTCAAATAAATCTTTTATTCTTTTGTTTCCCCCATTTTCTCACTTATAAACATGTTCTTGCTTTCCAGATTTGCTTTGAAAAGCAAATTTGAGGGCGGACATGAAGGCACCTTAATCAGGAAGTGTCATACTGAAGTGGGATAGAAGAAATAAGGACAGGTAGAAAGGAGACCCACAGGGAAGGGAAAGGATCCTAACTTTAAGAAGCCCCTCAAACACCATTATTCTCTAACCCACTTTTCCTCCAGGCCTAAATTCTTAAAAAGCCCTTGAATCTTAAGAGTATTGTGAGTCCAAATGATTAATGTCTGCATTTGTTTCTAGTTTATGCAGCATATTTTAGACAGACTAAATAAAGCCAATGAAAAATATTATTAGAGATTTATGATATGGGTATATTCCAAACATTATGTATCCACTGGATGATATCAGTGATCCTGAGAGAATCAGACCACTGTGACCTACCCTGTGCTCCATGATTAAAAGAACTGAGCCCACCAAGCTGAGGGTACCCACCCCCCACTTCTCATATTCACTATTTATAGTTTCCTTTAAAAAGAAGAGCCCAAGACCCCCAAAGCTTTTATCACCTCAAAGCTTTTATCTCTCTTTGAGTGCATATCCTACACTACAGCTTGCTTTCCTAGATAAATCTCTTTGCCTTCTTAAATAAATCTTTGTGCCCCTTTTGATGCATCCTGAATTCCTTTCTGTGGCATAAGTCAAGAACTTGCCAGGGCTGAGGTGAGGTCCATTTCCCTTTTCTGGGGGTCCTCTGCAGACACTCTTCCAGTGGCAAATTTTCAAATTTACCTAACAAATACTAGCTTTGCAAGGACTATTTATGGTGGGTGAGGTTGGGTAGAGGGCTAAGTGATAATAATAGTATCCTCAGGGTGCTCAGAGCCAATGGTGACATACATGTTTCAATATACAAAACAGAAATTTCTATCTTTGAGAGAGGATGGAGACAAGAGTTTAGAATAATAGGCAGTTTATTTATGGCCTCAAGAAAAGTAGTTATGGAAGAATCATACAGAGGCATTTGAACCCGGATATAAAGGATATGGGTATGTAGAGGGGTATGTGTGAAGAGGAAATGGTGCTCTGGGTAGAGGGGACAAGTGGGTAAAGGCACAGAGGAGGGGAAGAGGGGATGGCAAGTTTGGGAGTTTGTACTCCACATGGGTAAGCTAGGAGGAAGAGGGCTAAACGGAACAGGGACCACTCCTTTACTTACAGGGCGTGGGGGAAGAAGACCGAAGGAGCTGGCAGAGGAGACCAAGAACACAGTGTGATGCAGAGTTCAAGAAAGTGGCAGAATGACATCCCACAGAAGGGTTGTTGGGGGTGGTGGACATCTGCTGACTCAGCATATGCTCTCATCCTTATTCTAATAGCAGTCACTGTAGTTGCATTGGTGGGAAGTCCCTCTCCTGCTTTCTCAGGACACTTGGCTTGGTGGAACAAGGGGACTGCTGGCCTTGGGACTGAGCTGCTCACCCAGCTCTGCCTATCCCAACAGGACATTCTTGCAACAAATACTAGCTTTGCAAAGACTGATTATGGTGGGTGGGGTTGGGTAGAGGGCTAAGTGATAATAATAGTAGTCATTGTAATTGCATGAGTTCAGGGGTGGGCACGAGCCCCAAAAAGACTAATTATGACCAGGGAGAGCAGATCCCAAAACTTCTGTTAGATGGAGCAGACAAGAGGCTTATTCTTTCCTGCTGAACTTGAAGCCAGGAGGCATGTGTGAACTAGAGACTTGTGGGAGCCATCTAAACAATACAGGGGAACAGCCCTCAGTGAACAGAGTAAACATGAACAGCAGGAAGGAGGGAGAGAGATACTCTGGTTTCTCATGACACTGAGCTCTGAAAACCAACCCTACCCCTTCCCTACACTTCCAACCTTTTGCATGAGCTGGTTTGCTTCTCCTGTTGCTTGTGAGAGTCAACTGACAGAGACTAGGGAGAAGGTTGGAGTTTAAAGATTCGATGTCACACGTGACCCAGAGATAGTATTTGCAATAGTAGAATGCAAAGTATTATTATTGCTAAATTTCCTCAAGCCCAGATTATCCAAACCTCCAGATAATTAAAAATTAGAAAGCATCAATAATATAAAAGCTTCAATAGATTGGGCTGTCAAGCCAGGAACAAAAGCCCAAGAAAGTTACACAAAGTATTGTCAAGGGACCTTTGTATGAAGGTGAAAGGGGGTAATTATGCACATAATGAAACTCCTACACACTGCTCAAATCAGCACCACCCAGAGAAAGCAAGATTGGATGTCAGCGGCGACATCCTTTCTGAAACGGTTCAGATGAATGATTTCAAAAGGTTTCTTTATCTTGGACATTTTATATCATGAAATGCCCAGCAACACAACACAGAACGAACTTCCCACCTTTAATTCACTTCAATGTTTGTCAGAAAAGGGGCTCTTGGAATGTCACCTGTTGGAATAATTTTCAGTTTCCAGCTAGCAGCTAGCAGGTATGTGCAGCTCGGAGTGCTTGAAGAATCTACACTTGTTCAGGCCTGATAGGAATGCCTGCAGGATAGGGTGCTCTGCTCTAGCAAGCCGTTAGTGAAACCACATCCTTAGCACTTGTGGTTAGCATTGCCAAACTGCCAGGCAAGGAAACTGATAGCCAGGAGCTTCAGGCATTAAAACTTCTTAGAAAACCCCTCCCCTAGGGACAAAGACCCTTCCTGATGATAGCAATACTTAGAGCATCCTCATAGTGCGGTTACATTGGCAGAAGATGATTGGCTTATGGATACTATCTTGCTTTCGTATGATTGATGGGCACGCCCCACTCGAACCCTATAACAATTGTATGCATTCCAAAAATAAACTGAGCTACTGGACTACGACTTGAGGATTATCTCCTGCCAGTTCTCTCTCCAGCTCCCGGAGTCTGTGTGTTGATTCCACATCTCTACCCACTGCGACTGAGGTAGCCGAGCAACATCAGTGACCAGAAAGACAGCAGTCACCAAAGTAGGGGGAGGGATTATTCATTGAGATTCACCAGCTGTAATAGAAGAGAGAGAACATTCCAGAGAGAAATGCTGGCTGGAAGAGCAGAAAGGGTTTTTTCCCTTTCTAGCCATCATTCCTGAGCAATGTCTGCAGGGCAGAAGGCTGAACGGGACAAACAGCTCAGCAGAGGAAGCCTGTCCTTGGAACTTCTGTTTTCTTGCCCTACACCTGGACCCTCAGGACCCTCAGAGGACAGTGATCAAGTATTATGGGGATATGATGTTGGCACTGGGAGGAAGGCAAGAAGCAGGACCCCTGTTGTCTTACATTCTTGCTGGGGAAGTAATCAGTTTGATTGACTTAATTATCCAGGCATGTCTGAGAACACTTTGCTCCTCAGAGGAGTAATTTGAAAGAAGGATTAGAAAGATTGTTGAGGCTTAAGAGACACACATCTGCTTTGAAGTAAAGGTGACAGCAATCTGCAGGAAGAGCTTCCCAGAGCTGCCACAGGGACAGGACATCCAGAAGTGCAAGCAGGTCTTCCTTCACGGAATGGTGCTGGTGTTTTGGAAGCCCACCAGGCCCTGCCGTCCTCAGCTATCAGGAGGTGCCCAGTTTGCTTTTGCTATCTCCTGCTCCATCACCCACACTCCTCCCACAGGCTCCTGAAGGCCATGAGAAGCTTTTCAGGTCATCAATTCTACCTAACAGAAGAGCTCTCAGTGGGGCAGAAGATGGGGCAGTGTGAGGGTATGTGTGAGCAAGACTGAGAAAGAAGATGTGGGTATCTCAATGGCACATCTAAGCTAGGATCTGTGGAAACTCTAATTCTACGGCCCACTCTGTGACAGTTTCCTGGTAGGGTGATGAGTTACATCTGGATCAGTGTTGGGACCAGGGGTGGAGAAAGGTAGAGAGCACAGAGGGTTGGAAGAAAATTGGATGAGGAATTTCATCCTGGCTTCATGTCAACTTCTGGTGTGACACATGGGCAAGTCACTTATTCTTGGGGCCTTGGTCTCCCCACCTAGAAAAATGATATCTGGGTTGATAAGAGTTTATGTTTTACCCTTTGCACTCTCAGAGTTTTGAGTTTCTGTGAAGAGGGAGTGCATTTCTGGTGTATTTCTAGAATTAAACCTTCTTGAGTCCTGATGAGTGAATGGAAGACCAAGTTTCTGGGTCAGAGGGATCACTTGGAAATGGAGCTATGTGCAGGGTATAAAACCCACAGTCACCAAGGGGTGATGCTTGGTGGGTGCTGTGGTTTGAATGCTCATGCCCCTCCATAATTCTCACAGTAACTTAAGTGAGTAACTAGAAGTGAGCCATGGTATAAAGAAGTGGGCCCTTTGGTGACTGATTAGGTCATGAGGG